AACTTCTGGCTAGCAGTCAAATGCCTTAGGCACTACACCACCAGAGCTCCCTCTCCACCTCTTTGCACCCTCACCTCCCTCCGGTTTCATAACCTACTCCCACTTCCCACCACCAAGGATTCCTGGGCAAAGAACTGTGATCAAAATCCAGAAGTCATTTGGGACCCAGTGGTTTCAGCCAGTCCTTCATCCTGGCCCCCTCTTCAGCCTCCACCTCAGCCTTTGCCCCATCCTAGGCAGCTGCCTCCTTGTGGTGGAGGCATTTATCACCTCCTATCCCCTGCCCTGCTCTAGTCCCCCACCCCACCTACCCTCACATATGCCTTCTCTTCAGACCATGTGTAGGTACGTGAAAAACACCTTAGAGGGAGAGTGTGTCTCCCCACCCCCAGCTTTCAGTCTCAGGAAATTCAGAACAGATAGTATATAATTCAAGGTGTTCAGGCTCATGGTGGCAAGTACACAGAATGGCAACCTCTAGATTGAGAGGCAATATTTGAATTTGGGGCAGGGCAAGGGAAGAGGATAAAATACACACTACCAACCAGCACCATTCTTCTCCCTCTTGGTGAAGGATCTGAAAGCGGAGAGTCCCAAGAAATCCCTGAAGGTTGTCTGAAGGAATATCTCCCCAGCCCCACCTTTGAGTTGTTGGGAAGATGAGAGGGAGATGGCTTCAGGGCAGCCCACCTGGGGCATTTCTAGACAATGCTCCAGCGACAGGAAGGATAGGGCAACCTGAGGTTCTGCTTTGCCACTCCTGTCCTGTGGCTTCTGTCAGGCCTCCTGTTCCCTGGGAGCTCAGTAGGGAAGACTGGGCAATGGTGAAAGAACAAACTCCAGCTGCAAAGGGGCAGGTGACACCTTCTGTCAGCAGGAGCCCAGAAAAACTGAGCCAGGATCTCTTAACAACAGCTATGCCCTCTCTTCAAACACAACAAATAGGAGTGAGCACCCCTGGATGTGAGACAGCATGAAGGGTGGGCTCATCTAAATTCCAGCGACAAAGAGCAGCCTTAGGACACAAAGGTGTGCTGTGTGCTTATCCTCATTTGCTAGCATTTGGCTCAGTGGTTAAGCACTTGGCTGCTGAAAGGTTGGCAGTTTGAACTCACTAGCCACTCCATGGGAGGAGGATGTGGCAGTCTGCTTCTGTAAAGATTAAAGCCTTGGAAACCCTATGGTGCAGTTCTAGTCTGTCCTGCAGGGTTGCTCTGAGTTGAAATTGACTTGATGGTTGTGGTTTATTTATTTGTTTATTTATTTTTCAACCACTAAGGGGAACTACCAAGACCCTTTGGAAAGGGCCTAGGATGCCAGCCTGCCCAACCGTGTCTGAGTAGCCCAGACCATCATTCCAAAGCTCTTCCTTGGCTGTACCCACTCTCCATCCCTGAGATGGGTGTTGATCTCCCAGTCCCAGACTACAGAAGGAATTGTGTGCTCAGAAGAACAGTTCTCTCACCTGTCCCAGCACCCTGTTTCAGAATACAAGATTTCTGTAGTCCTTCACATTACCTGAGGAGCTCTGGTGGCATAGTGCCTAAGGCATTTGACTGCTAACCAGAAGGCTGGTGGTTCAAACCCACCAACCACTCCTCAGAAGGAAGGTTGGGCAAGCAGCGGTTGTGTTCACATTACTTGAGTGGCTCCCCCAGGGCTTGCCCATGCTGCACAGGCCCTGAGGGTTCCCACGAAGATAGTGCTTTTAAGCATTAGTGTGCAACAGACAATAGGGCCTATGGGTGTGACTGTGGTGGAAAATTAGGTGTCTTCCTCTCACCCCAGTTCCCAGGTTTCTACCACTGATCATCTGTACCAGCCAAATCCTACCAAAACTAAACTCACTGCTGTCGAGTCAGTTCCAACTCCTCCTTGGGTTTCTGAGACAGTATCTTTTTATGTAAATAGATTGCCCAGGCTTCCTTCAGATGAGTGGCTTGGGGTTTGAACCACCAGCCAGCCTTCTGGTTAGCAGTAAAATGCCCTAGGCACTAGGCCACCAGAACTCTTAGCCAAATCCTAGACATTTCAAGAAGCCCAGGTTTGTCTCATCTGGCAGAGATGCCGGACTTTAGCAATCCTATCCCATCATCAAACTAGGACCACCTCCCACCTTCCTGAAGATCAGGAACCAGACAACTCCATGCTTGTGGAGTGAAAGGGGTGGTCTCCCCCCCAAGTGGCCTCCCAGAGCCCTGCCTGCAATGCACCCATGCTGTCAAACCCCAGCCCAACCTCCCTCAGGCCGGGACCACGCACTTACAGACCACGCACTTACAGACGTTCCTCGGGCTCACAGGAAGGAGTGCTGTCTCGTTGTCTGGGGCTTGAACAGACAGGACAGGGCGCTGGCTGGGTGAGGGGTTTAAAGGGCTGGTGCCGTGGTGATGTCAGCTTCCCCCGCTGCCTCACCCCTCAGCCCCCTCCCTGCTGGAGGAAACTGGCTCCCTTCCCCACCCCCAGCGCCCCCAGTGACTCCACATAGGCTCCATATTTGGGGAAAGACACCAAGTTGGAGCAGTCTGCCAGGGGCTGTGGAGACATTCTCCGCGTGCTTTGGGGATGGAGCGGGCGGGGGGCGGTGCTGCGCTGCCGGCGGGGAGCCGGCCGGGAAAAGCCTTTTATGGACAGGACCGTGAAGGCTTTCCCTGCCGTCTGAACTTAAGGCTGCCCCTTCACTGTTCCTGGAACCCAGGTTTGAAGGGAGGGGAAGATTCAGGAGGGCCTGATCAGAGAGCAAGAAAAGGGGCTATGGGGCCGTAGAGCCTAAGGTTTGTGAGGGGCAAATAAGCTACTCTCTCCTTTCAGGGCTGGAAGAGGGAACTACCCTTTCCCGGGGACTTACTACAAGCTGCATTTTGCAGATACTCTCATTTCATACTCACAGCTACATTGGGAGGGTGTAATTACTATCCCCATTTTACAGATGAGGAAACCAAAGCTCAAAGTTTCATACCCACAGCCACACAGGGAGTCATGAGTGGCAGAGCCTGGGCATCTGCAGCTATCAGCCTGGAGGCTGGAGAGGCCATCAGGGCTGCTGTTTCTGTTGCACTACCCTTCTTAAATTAAGCAGCATTTTCAGTTGGGATGGGTCTTGAGTTTTATGCTTTAGTTGGGGGTAGGATTTAAGGGTTCAGCAGCTGAGGCACCTTCCTCCAGAATGTTAATCTGGGCTCTTATCCAGAGGCAGTGGCAGTCTCTAAGGCCTGGCAGGGCCTGAGGCACAATCATTGGGGTAGGATGGTCAGGGAAGAGGCTATAGTCTCTTCCTCCTTCCCTCTAGGTCCAATAGTTCCTTATCTATCCTGGAAAATAGACTGGACCCTATCATTCCAGGAAAGAAACTCTGACTCATACATTGCTTGTATCTGGATTCAGGTACCTCAGAGAGGGTAAGTAAGGGTAAGGGTAAGGTTCCCTGGGCTTCCGGCCTTGCCACTCCCCATCCTGGGGCTGCTTGGTTAGAAGACCGAATACACAACCAACCCAAGCCAGGCAAGGCCTCAGGGATGAGGGGGAGTCAGGGGAGGGGTCAGCCTAGGGAGCCCTGCCAACCAAGCCTGCCTCGAGTTTACTTCAGAGCCCACTGGCACAGACCTATACTGCCCCCCAATGGCGCTTTCAGGGAAGAGCAGGGAGGGAAGCTGGGGATCAGCAAGCATCCTTCATCCTCAATCCCATTCCTGGACCCCACAGACCTCCGGCTGTGTCCTGAATTCACCACAGATTCCTTGGCTGCCAAATCTTGCCCTTTGTAGCCTGTTGAAATCTAAAACTCCCTTGGAGCCTGCCTGCCATCCATCCATCCATCTTGCGTTTCCTGAGCACACCCTTCCCTGTTAACTTTGGCCAGCTGGCTTGCAGACATTCTCACTGTGTTTTAAGCTGCATCAGGAAGGAGCACTATCTGCAGCCTGCCTAGGTGGGAGGGCTCAGGTCAGAAGGGAGGCCAGTCTCAGTCTATGAAGAGTGAGGACCAGGGAGGGGAGAGGGCTGAGGAGAGGCCATTTCAGAGGTGAATGGCATGGACTGAGGCTTCCTCACTACCAACTTCTGTAAAGCACAGCGCCTGGCAAAGAGGAGGCTGCTGGTAAATGTTTACTGAATCAATGCTATGGCTCAAAGGAGAAGAAAAAGCGAAAATCAAAGAACTGCTGTTCCCAATGTGATCTTGACTTGGAAAAGACCAGAAGGCATGGGAAATGAAGACTCTACCCCTTACTGCTCTCAAAGGCTCTCCCCATACCTAGGAAGGGGGAGCAAACATGGGTCCAAGACTACATTTGGTTGTTTCTTTAATTGAATGCAGACTCATTCATAGAAAACACAAATGCAACTGTACCACAGAAACAGACATAAAATGGAGTTCTAGAAAAGAGATCCAGACCTGCCTCTTCTCTCCAACCCCAGGGAGAGCAATGAAAACATGTCTGGGTAAATAAAACACATTCCCACCCCAAGCCAGTGGACTGACCTGCACCTCCCCCATCCTTGGCATCTGGAATGGACCAGTGGAGTGAAGGGGAACCAAGGGCCAGAGCAGCCATTGGGCCCAGAGCTGGGGGAAACTCAATGTAAAAGCCAAGGTTTTAAAGGGATGTATGTGTGTTGTGACTTAACACACCGTGAGGATTTGGCTGAAGACTGGACATAGAAGTCAGCCCTGGGTCCTAGAGCGAGCTTAGGAATGGGGATACAGAGGGTTATAAGCATATCCCTTCCTTTGCCCTCTTTCTCAGATAGGCACTGGGGCTCACTTGGCTGTGGAGGAGCCTGGATATGAGCTGGGCTCGATACCCTCCCTCCTTTGCCCCTGGACATTCTTGGGCAGTGTCACTGGCACTGAAAGCCACCCACCCACACACACCAAGCTGGGGCTTGGCAGGACTTAGAGTCTGGAAAGAATGGAAGGGTGAGTTACTTTTCCCTCCAATCCTGGTGCCAGCATCAGTCTGGGGGACCGATGGAATGGGGAGGTGACCTCTGAAATGCAAGCTGACCCTGACTGCTAAAGAGCCAGCCCCTAATCGCAGATCAGAGAGAAGAGGCAGTGCTGCCTTGGGCCTCTCGCAGGCCTTAGCACCGAAGCATCTGGCACCAACTGAATAGTCCCCCGTGTCCCATGTCACCAACATTCCTGGCTGACTGGAGCAGGCAGTGATGGAGCCAGGTACAGCCCCACTGAGAATTGGGGTCCTGGTACAAAACAGAAAACCAGACCCCAGACTAGGGCTCTGGAGCAGGAGCCTGGGATGAAGAAAGGGCTCAGGGTCCCAGGCTGAGGGGGAGGGGAAGGACGGGCAAATGCAAGGCATGAAATGGGGAGGGCAACACCTTCCCTCCTTCCTCCTGCAGAGGGACAAACAGAGAGCCAACAGACAGGGACCCGTGGCTCCCAACACTGAGAAGAAAGCAGCAATTTGGCCACTGCCTGGAGCTTCAGGGGAGCAGGCCTTCTCCCTGGCAGAGGGCATGGCTCAAGGCCACCCCATGACTGTCCCAGGCCAGGCTTGGGCTAGATCACAATGTCCCACCCCCATTCAGCACTGGGCAGCAAGGTTGGGACTCACACCCCCAGCTCTACAGGGGCAGGTGAGGCAGAGGAGCTGAAGGCTCCATGAGGTGATGTCAGGGGCCCAGCTTGCACTAGAAGACATAGATCTTGTCCCGTTGCACGGTATCCAGGTCGTCGTCCAGTGTCAGCAATACCTGGTAGGGGTAGGGAGGGGGAAACACTAGGTCAGGCATAGGAAAGGGGCAACCTCCACCTTCTGCTCCACCCTCCTCGCTTGGGCCAGAATTATCTCACGTACCAGGAAAGATCCAAACATGGCGATGGAGGAGAGGAAGTGCCAGATGTCGTGGTCATCAAAGAAGTTGAGGAGGATGCAGTCTCGATTGTGCTCCCGTGACTCTGCAGGGGTTTTCTGGGGAGGAACAGGGAGAGCTGCCTGCTGACAAGCTCTGGCAAAGTGGCACCCAGCCCACCCTCTCTCCCACTGTACTCCAAGGCACTCTCTGTTCCCAACCCTTGATAGGAAAGCCTCCTCTCACTCTCTTCTGACTCGCCCATTTCCCTTATCTCCCATATCCAAGAAATGGCCTTTTGTACAAATTACTCCCTGAGGATGCTGGCTTCTGCCCTTTATCTTTTTCTCTTACTCTCTTGCCTTCAGATCCCTATTCCTTTTATCTAAGAGCATGGGGCTGTGACTGCCTTTAGAAGCCTCCAACTTGGAGATACTTGAAGGCCACCAATGCCTCCTAATCCATCTTCCTGCCTCAGACTCTGCCCCTGCTCTACCCCCCACAGCTCCTCCAGGTTGTTTTACATTTTCTCTAAAGCATTCAAGTCAGGCCATACCCCTACTCAAGGATGAGGTGGCCATGACCTGTGGGCTATAGCCTGTGGCCCTCAAGATCCTCCATGCTCTGCCTATAACCCCTAACCAACATTCACTAAACATCTACCCTGTGTCGGGGGCTGCCTGTGTTACATGGTGAGCTAGAGAGATGACTATGACTTTCTTACCTTCAGGAAGCCCACCATCTTCCATGGCACCCAAATTAGTATATTCACTCACCACCTAGGCTGCTTCATTTATCTCCACCTCTTTATCGTTAAGTCAAGTCACATCATCTCTTGGCCATGGGGCAGTTCTCCATCATCTATCACCCATTTATGGCCAAGAGCAAGCCCACTTCCTCCAGGAAGCCTTCTTACACTTCATAACTCAGAGACTATTTTCTGACCTTCTGTACACTGCCCCCTGAGCGACTTTTGCCTGTCCTCTTCGTTTCATGTATCATATTGTAAACAGCAAGACAAGAACTAATAGTCTCTCTCCCTTGAACTAGATTATAAGCACCTCAAAGGCGCAAACCATGTCAGACTTAGTTCTGACCTCTGAACTAAAGTCTGAAACAACAGTGGTAGGTTCCTTATGAGGCCGAGGAGAAACCCTGACATCTCTGACTTCAAAACTAGTTGTGCCTCTTACAGGCTGTATGACCTTGGACAAGCCTCAGCTGCCTCCTACGCAAAGTGGGGGTGCCTCCATGATGGAATGTTAGCACTAAAGGAGAGAGCAGCTAGGAAAGTGCTGGCTGGCCCACAGGCGGTGTCCACAAATGATCATGAAAAAGAAGATCTATTGTCTGTTGGCTCACAAGGACTTTGTGGGTGACCACCCAACCCTCACAGCAGGATGACTACTTACCTGCCAGGTGCTGAGTCCCTGGAAGAAGAAATAGAGTGCAAAGCCCCAGACCACGGAAGTGCAGAGAATGCAGAGCAGGGGGATGAGCTTGATCCTCTCCCCACTCCGAAGCTGAGGGGTGAGGAAGGGAAAAGTAGCTTGAGGGTCAGACCCTGCCCATCCCATTGCCTGGCCATTCCTGATGCTGCCTTCCTGGTGCCTTCCCCAGCGTTCAAGAACACTCCTTTAGGAAGTCTTGTTGAATTCCTATCATCACCTCACACAGCCATATAGCTCAACCTGTTCCCATGCTAGCTGCCTGATGTCCTTGCCCCTGACGTCCACTCAGGCTGGACCTCTGTGTACTCAGAGCTCAGTGATGGTGGAGTCTGCTGGCCAGGAGGCACTCCCTCTCCAGGGACTCCTCTCACACTGGATGGCATGAAGGTCTCTAGGGAGCCACTGTTCCCTCTTCAACTGGTCCTCAGAGGCCCAAGCCCACCACAGATTCAGTGAGCTCAGCCTCCTAACTCCTTCTGGATTTAATGTGGGCCTTAAATCTGCTGCCTGAAATGCTACCAGTTTCACGGGCCATTCTAAGAATGTGGAAGGGACTCAGTAAGTGGCTTTTAAGATGTAGTTGGCTCCCTGGGTTTGCCCAGGGGGTACAGACAAAAAGCTGTAGCCCCTCTTCTCCTCAAACCCCACTGGGATCAAGAGAAGGGCAGAAGACAGATGCACAGAAAAATGCCCCTCCTTCTCAGTGCTGCCCCAAGCAGGCTGTATCCTTCTCCTCCATAAAAGGCAGGGCAGTGGGCAGAGAAGCCTTGGGCATTCCCCACTCACCTTCATGATAATGTAGAAGGCAAAGTAAAGAAGCAGGTTGCAGATGCCAATGGCCAGTAAGTAGGAGGCAAAGTCATTGGGGCGCATGATGAGCCCATAGGCAGCCCTGGCAAGAGGGAAGAAGAGATGGTGAAGCAGGGGAGGGCCGGGAATAAGGGAAGGGCTCTCTCTCACCTCAAACCTCACCATGTTTTATTAAGATGTGGGGCCAGGGCTGGAAGCCCACAGAAGATTCTAGAACCCCAGGTGCCCCTACCCCCTCTCTTTAGCCCCCATTTCCCTCTCAGGCCCAAAACTTAGAAGCTGTCCATGGCCCCCAAGGCAGCCAGCAGCTGGCCAAGATCCCAGCTCTCTTGCCTAGCCAGGCTACCGTAGACAATGGCCAGACTCACAGTGACCAGTTGATAATGTTGCCCATAACCAGCAGCACCATGCGGTCCTGGAGGGAAGCAGAGACACGGGGACTGAGAGAGGGGAGGGGAAGAGAGAGGGAGAGAAGTGGGAGAAGGCCCAAGTCAGTTGGTCTCCACCCCTACTCTGGGCTCTCAGCTATACCTCCCCACTGCACTACTGGAGATACGAGAACAGATGGGAGAGGAAGGGGCTGGGGAGCTGGGCAGGTACCACGTAGAGGGGCCTGCTGCACTGCCGGATGCAGTCCGTGTAGAGCACATGGAGGATGCGGCGGAAGATGCCTGAATCTGCAGGGTAACAGAATGGTGCTGAAAGGCATGGGCTGCCCTTCCTCCCAGGACCCCCACCTGACTCCAGGGCCTTCAAGGGCATTCCTCGCTCAGTGATTTCTCCAGGGACCGCAGAATCTGAAAGTTTCCTGCGCCCAGGTCCCTGAGGTCACCAAACCTTCAGTCCATGGGACCCTCCAGGCCTCCCTCCCTCTTGTCCTGCCCTGGGCATGCCCTTACCCAGCTTCCAGCGGCCCATGTAATAGAGCTGTATGCTGAGCAGCAGGGTAGCAATGATGTGAATGACAGAGAAGATGATCCAGAATGCCGTGTTCCCTTTGCCAAAGACCTGTCAGGAGGTCACCAAGGGCAGGGGTGAGGAGGCCTTGAGGAGCCTTAGCTTCTGTGGTCTGGTTCTCCATCAACAAGAGCCAGAGTGGCTGCTCAGCCTGGTTGGGAATCTCAGGGGGACCTAGGGAAGACATTCTTAGGGAGAGGATTCCCACCTGTGGGTACTGGAGAGAGGTGTATTGTGCACATACAAGTGTGTGAGTGCACAGGCACCTTTCCTATGAGGTGAGTGGAGGGTTCAGACTAGGCTCAAGGCACAGCAGGTCAGGGCCTCACCACGCCCAGCACAGAGAAGAAGATGACAATGGCCAAGCAGGCATAGGCGCTGTAGGCACTGGCATTGATGTCCGGGTGCCGCTTCTGGTAGAGCTTCAGCATACACAGTCCAGCGATCATGTACATGAATGATGTGTCTGGGGGTAGAACACAGAAGTGAGCTAAGAAACATCCATAAGACCTCAGCACAGAAACCACAGTCTGGACAACCAGAGAGGGAAGGGGGAACCCCCACACCTCACCACAGTCACAGACCAAGCTGGCAACAGGGTGACACTTGAACCCCAATGTTCCATCTCTCAAACTAATGCTGTCCCTTGCAGGCCACAATGCCAGCCCATTGGCTGTCACACAGTCTAACTTCCCCACTGAAGACAAGAACAAGCCGGAGAACTCAATGTGAGCACTCCCTGAGGGACTTAATTATCTTTGTTTTCTCAGGGTTTGTACATGCCTGGTACACAGGAAATGACAGAGCACCTGGATGCCTCTTTTCTATATACTAGGAGGTATGCACATATAGGCACTCCAGTCCTGGAGTCCCTGAATGGACTGAGTCTGGGAGCTCCATATGGGGAAAAGGGGTGGGGGTGGTAGAAGACTTGGGCAGGTGCATGAGTTGGCAATAGAAGAGGGAGGCCTCACTCACCAAACTGGAAATTGGTATAGTTGGGGCAGACGTGATAGCAGGCACTGAGTAGCCCCTCCATCATCAAGGCTGTGCCCATAGCATAGAACAGGCCAAAGTGTTTTGGGATCCCACATTCCTATTGTGGAAAAAAGGTAGGGAGGTGGCAAGTTGCTCAGAGAGAGGGAGTAAGGAAAGGATCCAAAAGAGGGAGCCCTCAAGAGAGGAGAAGGTACAGGGTGGGATGTGGGCAGAACAGGTGTGTGGGCAGGGCACTGCCTGCCCGAGTTTTCTGGAGCTGAGGCCTTGATGGGCCAGTGAGCAGGTAAGAAGGCAGGTGGGGTGCTTCCTCACCAGGGCGTAGAGGTCATTGCGCAGCAGGGCCCGGTTGTGATTGATCTCCCGCTGCAGGATGATGAGCAGGAAAAGCAGCCCCAGCAGGATGTAGCCCAGGTTGCTGAGAATGTTGTTGAAGGCGCTGGAAGGGACAACACAAAGCACATTCCTGGGCCTCAAACCCTGGCATCTTCCCCAGCCTGGGCTAACATGTCACAGAGCTCTCACTCCCTGCCCTGATTCACCCATTGCCTGGGAAAGGGGCCTTCCAACACTGTCCTCACCTGAGGTTGCCCAGCGGGTGAGCACAGAGGAAATTGTAGTAGCAGATGTCCTGATTCCCTGTGACATTCACCACCTGCAGGAGGGAGAGGGAGCAGGGGATAAGAGTGTCAGAGCACCGACTCAGCTCAAAGCCTGGGCAAAGCAAGTATCAGGCCCAGCCACTCCAGCCAATAGGCAAAGGATAGAAGTGCCACCATAGATAGCAGGTGTGCGCATGCTCCTTTTGAAAACAGTGATGCAAGGGGCACAGTCACTGTTCCACCCTCACAGGGTGTGGCTGAAAGCCCTGAGGCATATGGTTCTTGGCCCACATTACAGAGAAAAGGGAAAAGAAACCAATACCTACAAAGTCCTACACTTGTTTCATAAATCTCCACAACTTCCCCCTTTTTTGCAGATGAAGAAACTGATGCTCAAGAGGTTTTAAGTGATTTTCTCCAGGTCACCCAGCTGGTAAGGCAGAGCTGGGATCTGAACCCACGTCCCGTGACGCTAGTATTTGTGCCCTTTCCAGAGGCTAGGCTGGGAGGGTCTGCTCTTTGGAGTGATGCCCCAGACTGTGGTAAAGACCTGTGGCTGTGCAGAGTGCTCAGCCCAGGGCCTAAGCCAGCCCCTACCCTCTCACCGTCTGGTAGGTGATCACCAGCTGCACCACTGGAAGGGCATAGAAGACAGCAATGGTGGCGATGTTCCTGAGGGATGGAAGGACAGTGGTGAGGTGGGCAGAACCCAAGAAGCTGCCACACACCCCATCAATAACAGGAAGCCCAGACTGTTCAGCTCACTCACCAGAAGTAGATCTGGTACTTTTTCCGCAGGATGCGTTTGTCCTTCCGTGCCAAGTCAGCCACGTAGAGGTATTGCTGAGGAGAAGCTGGAGTGAGCCCCACTTACTCACCCTCTAATAAAAGCCATGCTCATGCACGTTAGGGGTAGACAAAAGGGCCTTTCCTCACACAGGCCATAAAGGAGGCAGGGTTCTAGGGCATCCCATTGCTGCAGTTGGTTAGACTGAGGGCTGGCCAATCAGCAGAGAGTTGAGTTACTTTCCCCTAGAATCTATCCTGCCCCAGCTGCTTCCCTAAAAACCACCCAGTAGGGGTTCAGATGTGCCCAAACACACAATCTCCTTTCTTAGGGAAACTTCTGGCCAGGGTCAGACCCACAGACCTTGGTGCGAATGACATTCTTGTCAGAATCAATATCAGTCAGTGTGTCATAGTCATCCTCTTCCACAGAGCTCATGGAGTCCAGTCGTGGCCGAGTGCCCACTGGGTCAAGGGGGCGATCTGGGAAGGGCAGGAAGGGGAGTTACATTGGTGGGCACAGTAACCCTGGGTCTGTCCCCTCCCCACCCTGTCTGAGGCAACTGTCAAAATTACCAGGCAGTTCGGAAGAGGCAAATTGTGGGCCAGGGCTCAGAGCAGGGGTACATATGGGCTCAGCCCTGGAGGGGAGATCAAGTGCTCCTAGGCCTTGGGGGGAACAAGGGTGGGCTCTGGAATGTGGCCACCAAACAAGGACTTCTCTAGGTTTGCTCTAGTCCTTGCTCCCCTTACTGAGCTAAGGCTTCCCAGGCCAGGACACTGAACCAACCCCAGACCCCAGACACAAGAAACAGGATTGAATTTGGCAAAAGTCATATTGATTAGAAAGTACCCAGCCCTGTGAGTTCTGAGAAGACATTGTCTTGGCCCCCACAGGTTAAAGATCCAGTGGACCGTAGAGTGCAGGCAAGGATGAGAAGTTGCCTTTAGAAAGGGCATCCTCTCCTTTACCTTCTATCACCTTCAGAAGCACCTATCAGAGACCTTGCCTGGACAAAGCCCCCAGGAGGCCAGGCCAAGACACCTATGCCCAAAGGTCCTAGTCCAGCAGGGCAGGGAGTAAGGGTGCTATCAAGAGCATCTGAGAGCATGTGGCCTGAGACTGGCTGGCCCAGGCAGTAGCTGGAAGCAAGGGTAGGGTACCAGTCTTCCAGCCCCAGAGGCCTGTGCCTGCCTATCTCAGAAGACACAGAACCAGCAATTATTGGCATTAGATGGGGAAGCCATGCACAAAGCATCTTTCTGGCCCCAGAGCTGACTAGCTCTGGTCAGCCACCCTGGCAGAAGCTGATTGGCAGAGCAGCCCCACCCCCTCCCCCACATCTACCCATGGCAATGCACAGCTGCCGCATCTGGCCAGAGGGGAGGCGCCGCTTGAACTGGTCGTGCCCTTCAAAGGAAAGGGAAAGTTACCAGGGTTCTGGGGCCAAGGAGGAAAGGACAAGGGAGGAGAGGGCCTGGGAGAACAGCAGGCCCTTCCCTGGTTCCAGCATCTGGTAGAAGAGGCAATCACCCACCATCACTTCACCCAGCCAACACCAGCCCTACACCAGCACAGCCCCTGCCCTGTGGGCCACTCACCCTGATAAGTGTAGGCAAGGTCCCCGGTACCAGTGCTGTCAACCAAAACATCAGTGGATCCAGAACAATTCTCTATAGGGAATGGTCAAGTAGTGAGCAGGGAAGGGTATGCTTGGTCCAACCCCAACGGGCTCTGATCAGCTGCAGAGAGAATTGGCTGGCTACTCTGCCAGCTCAGAGGTAGCCACCCAAGGAGACTAGGCTGTGAGTGGGCAAGCACCACCTCTGCCTTTGCTACCTACCAAAGGAGCCATAGTTATAACTCTCGTATGGGGAGCTGCCAGGGAAGGTATCAGCCAGGATCCGAGGGTGACCTGTAACGAGAAGTCAAGGTCCCTTTAGCCCTAGAGCTAGAGAAAGACCTAGAGCCAGAGAGAAGAAAAAAAGAATCCAGGGCAGACAGGCACAGAGGGGCCATGCCAATATCACTGAATAAGCACCTATCTTGGCAAACTAACCTTGTTCCCACCACTACCACGTACCCAACCTCCCAGGTGATTCCCCAGTGGAAGCCATCTTATGATGAGAGAGGAAGGTCAAGGAACTAATGCATGGAAGTTACCAGCAACAAGGATGGATAACACTCAGCCTGCCCAGGTCCCACCCAGGCACCTCTTGCACTTCACTGCCCTCCCCAACTCTGACTCTGGCTACTCTGTCCATAGCACCTGGGGCTTACCAAGGAGAGAAGCTGAGAGAGAAGGTCCCAAGCAGGAGGGAAGATAGAAAGAGAAGGAGGGATGGGTTGAATGAGAGAGAATACAAGATTAGTGACTCCAGATACTGTGAACTGCACTGCTTAAGGCAAACAGACAGTTAGCTAGAACACAGAGAAGGAATCACGGGGCTGCCTTTAAGTTGTGCATGCCAAGGAGGTATGGGCACAATATCCCACCCTGGTTTTCATTTTACTCCTAACTGAATATCCCAGAAGCCCCCAGTCCTTTCTCTGCCAGTTCCTGAGGGAAACATCCACCAGTACTACCTCCAGAACACAACACTAACCCTGACCTCCCACCCAGGCCCCTGGGAGGTACCACTTTCTGGGCAGGCTCGGTCCACGGCCACCAGCAGAGTCTTCTTCCTCTGCCTGCAGGGACAGAATTCAGAGGCTACTCAGACAACCCTGGGAAGAAGACTGGGCAACCTACTTCCGTAGAGATACCACCTCGGAAAACCATGAAAGGGTTGCTATGAGTTGAAATTGATTCAACAGCTGCAAGTTAGTTAGTTGAGTCAGACAGGATAGGATGAGGGTCTCTCCTATGCTGGGCTGCCCTTCCTTCCACCCACCCCATCCTGATCCCTGTAACCCTGTTGTCCATCCATGATCCCAGGGTCCTCCCAGGCTGGAAAGCAATGAGGGGTCTTCCTGCTTGGGAAAAAGGTTGAAGGGAAGAGGTAGTTCCCAGAGGAGGGGAGCATGGACAACAGACCCTAGCAGAGATCTACCCTGCTGTGCCCCAACCCAAGCTCCACACTGGCCTGTGGATGGTCTGGAATATTCTCCTGGGCCAGCTTAGACCCTGCACAAACATCCATCTTCAACCACATCCCCTGCCCACCCACCCAGAATAGAGGTAGGCTCAGCCAGCTCCACTTTACCTCCAGTTCTCCCAACAGGCCAGGAGGATGGTCAGCAGGTAGAAGGAGAGAAATATGCCCAGGCAAAAGAGCATACCACCAACGTAGGCCTCAGCTGCATGGAGAGAAGCAGAAAGAGGAATGCATTGATCGATGCCTTCCATGACTGCCCATGGTACACAAGGTCCTTCATGATCTGGATTCTCTCCCCAGTCTAATCTCTCACCACTTCTCCCTTCCAACGTAATAACCCAGCCCGTCTGAACAACTTGCAAGTCCCCAAAGACACCAAACTTTAACATGATTCCTGTCTTTGCTCACGTTGCACCCTCTGCTAGAATGCTCTTTATTTTTTATTATGGTGAAATATATATAATTAAACATTTGCCATTTCAACCATTTTTACATATACAATTCAGTAACATTTATTCCATCCCCCATGTTGTACAACCATTACAACATCCAAATCTTAGAACTTCTTCTACTTCTCAGTAACTCCATCTTGACTTAGCCTTCAAAACATAGCTCTGGGACCATGTCCTCTACAAATCCTTATTGGGCCCTTCACAGTTCCCATAGTACCTGCTCTTTGTTCATCACAGCTCTCAGCACTTTGTTGCAACAGCTTTTCTCCTTATCTGTCTGTCCCTCTACACCGTGAGCTCCCTAAGGTCTGAGGCCCTAGCATAGCACCTGGCACACAGAGGCGCTCCATAAATATTTGCTGGATAAATAACCTATATAGAAGAAACTTCTTTCCCCTCCCATCACAATCCTTTATGTTTATTTTATACTTCGAAATTTACAAAGGGCCCCATTCAGTCATTCAGTAAATATTTATTGAGCACTGGCTTGAGGCCTGGTTCTTATATTTTTCGCTAAACCTGACAACCTGGTAAGCCTAATGGGACAGATTCTATTATCCCCATTATACAGAATAGACAGGGAAACTGAGGTTCAATGAGATTGGTCTGCTACTCAGTGGCAGAGCGAGGACCAGAACCAGTACTTTAACCTTTAGTCATGGAATCTTTGCACCACACGACGCTAGAATGCACTACCCATCATGTAGCCTGACATGACCTCCTTCCTACTGCCTCAGTCCACTTGAGTAGGACCTCATCACCCTCCCCTCTCAGAGAACATCCCATACCCTAGGTCTGAAGAAAGAGCCAGGAGCCTGCTCATCCTGCCTCTACCACCCATACTCACACGTGACTGCTTGAGATACCAGCACTGACAGAGTTTTCTGGCGGTGTCCTTGATCAACTGGTTCATCTAGAAGTAAAATGTCAAATTGGTAAGGAAGTGGTCACCTGGAGCTTGGCTAGAGTTAGTGGGACCACACCCACCAACTAGCAACACAGGCTTTTCTACCTCCCAGGAAGCAACCAAGCCCTCCCCATCCCTTGCCAGGCCTAGGGCACAAAATGTACCTTCTACAAAGGGGTAGAAAGGCAAGGAACCCCCACAGGCCTGGTCTTCAGTCTTCACCACCACCACCACATAAAAGCTGTTGCTTGGGAAGTCTTTGCGCTGCAGGATAATGTTGATGATGACAATTAGCAATATCATCATTACCATCCTTTTCTGAATACTTGTTTTGGGCCAGATAATATGCTATTCTCTTTATATGTATTATTTTACTTAATCCTCATAAAAAAATACTTTGTATAAGTACTATTATTGTCCCTGTGAGACAGGTTCAGAGAAGTCAGCTTAGAGTCAGTCACACCACTAGTAAGTGGTATAGCCAGGATCAAACCTAGTTTCATCTATCTGGCTCCAGAGCCCAAACCCTGAACCTCTATGCTACCGCCAGCTGAGCACATGGGTTGTGGAACTCATGGGTTGTCTTTATTACAGCCTGGGAAGCAAAATCAGAGGTGCTACGTTACCTCTGACTGTTGCATGGCTGGAAGTTATAAGGTGAACACATGTCTTCCCCCTCCCTGTCCCCAGAACAGGTTTCAGCCTTCACCACAGGTAGCACCCAGCATCCAACAAGGCCTTTCCTCTCCTCACTATCATTGCAATGAATGAAGTATATATGACAGCCTGAAAGAGGACTTTTCCTGTCACCAAGCTGATTAAGGTTAAATTCCCACAGATTTCAGAAGACCCCAAGTCACAGAGACTAGAGGGCCAAGACTCAGTCTTGTGAGTAAGACAGGAACAAGGCAGAGGAAAAGAAGTAAGGTTGAGGAAAGCTAATCACCTGGCTACATCTCCCAAAGGCTATGTGTATAGCCTACCTGCACTGTGATGGCTGCCTTCTTGGTCATTGTCTGGTACATGCCGATGAAGGCCACATTATTGTCCAGGTCATAGACAGGGCACTACAGAGGGAGGAAGGAAAAGGCAGATGGAGAGGGGGTTGGGCCCTATTCCTTCTCTTTGACAACCCCACTACCTTCTGGTGGAGAGAACAGTAAAAGGGTCAGGTAACTTACCAGGACATCCTGGATGGAAATGACAGAGCAGGGGAAAGCCTTGTTGGAGGTCACCTTGACAATCACCGAGTCCACACCCTCAGGGAACTCATACTTGAAGTACTAAGGGCAAAGGAAGGGAGTGGTGGTAGGGGAGCCCCATTTCACGTGGATACTCTTTGTCCCTATGGAAGGGAGCTGTCTCCCCTTAAGCGAGGACCTAGAATTTTCTCAGGATTGGACAGTGGCAGGAAGAACCCTGATTATAAGCAGTCTCATTTTCTGTATGCTGCTCCCCTCAGCCTCAGCTGGGCATTCAGAACAATGTGTGAGAGGAAGACCCCATGTCTCTGCATTGTCCCATGTGGTCTGTTCCTTAGCAGCTTAGGACTACAGCTCCTATTTCCAGAGAGTCCCTCCATGGAAAGTCAGCCTGCTCAAAAGTCCCAGCAAAGACCCCTGACTTCTCCTGTTCTCATGTCCAAGCTTCCCATTTCTTCTCTTGAGTGGCAGTTGACAGGGAAATTTTACCTGGGGTTGAGCTGCTGTGGTATTGAAGCTAAACTGCTCCCCAGTCCTGTAGGGCAGAGAAGAGGCCCCCATGGTCACTCCTGGAGCGTGGGAAGGAGGCCAGTCCCCGGGGTCCCCTTGCTCTCCCCGACAGACCTGAGCACAAAGTCATCCATGCGGCTGACTCGAAGATGGTATGTGGTGTTGACTGGTGACAGGGTTGACACATCCACATAGAAGAACTGGACCTCAGACTCATTCTTGGTGAGGGGCTGACATAGCGTCCGTTCCACCTTTTGGTAGAGGTACTTGCGCTGATACCTAAGGCCCAAAGCAGAGGGTTAGGAATGACTACTGACCCAGCTAGTTGGCCCCTAAAGGGTGCAAGGCCCCAATTCTTCCAATCTGGTTTTCACCACCCTGTTATTCCTACCCACAATGGGCTGACAAGCTCCAGGCTGGCTGACTTGGCCCTCATGCCATTGACCAGACTCTTGGTTCAGGGAATGGGGAGAAGAAATAGAAGGGGCTCCTGGAAGGTCTGAGGCCCTGAATGAGGTTCTGGGCAAGGCTGGGACTAAGCCATCTCCCTCCCTGATCCCTGGGTCCTACTCACAGCCCTCGCAGGATTAGGGGCACCTGGAAGGACACCACAGCTTCCTTCTGGCGGACTACGAACAGCAAAGGAGCCCCCTTCTGCTTGTTCAGGACATTCACAGACACACGCACACCCTCCGTCTGCAGAATGACATGAAAATGACCCTCAATCAAGCTGTGGTGACTGTACCTCTGCCACCTAGGCACATGACTCCAGGGACCTTGAGCCCTGCTTTCCCTCATGCTAACCTCTGTGTTCTTGTCCTGTCTTCTGCCAGAGCAACCCCCAGCCTCCAGGAGGCAGCAGGTTTATGTAGGGCAGCAGGACCCAAGGAACTGAAGAGCCTAACTTCCCAACAGGAAACCAATGGAGACTTTGGGAGACTCAGGGACGCCCCATTCCTACCTGTGTGTATGGGGATGAATACATCTGCACATACGGGTGCATACACACATATGAATGAAAACACAAGAGCAAGAAGTGTCCTTCACCCTTCTTCCTTATGAGCCAGGAAACCAGCAGAAAGCTCCTTTCCAACAACTATGCTAGGGGCCAGAGCCCAGCAATAGTGAAAGGCAAGTTGTATCCCTAGCTCTGACCAATGGACAGGGCTATGGAGAAGTCACTTCCATATCTGAGCCTCACTTTCCGCCTCTATAAAATGGAGACACTCTCACCATTGGAGCAACGGAGGAGATGACTGAAAGAGTATATGGGACAAAAGAAACTTAAAGGATGTAGGAGATCCTGGATAGAGTGGGAGAACAACGTAGAACTCAAAATAATTTTAAAAAAAAAGGGACCAAGTTTGCTGGTCTGATAGAGCCTGATGGAACCACTGAGACAATGGCCCCTAGCTGCCCTTCAGGTCTGGAATTGAACCCACTCCTGTGGCTTCCAGACAAACAAAAGGCATATGAGCTGAACATTTATTCAGATACATACACTCCTTGGAGAGAACAATCATGGGAGAATAGAAGGGCTGCTTATGCACAGGGAGACAGTTCAGGGGGGAGGAGTGCATGGAGGAAAGGACACAAGGAAAAGGTAACTATGGGGAGGAAGTGGGAGGGGAGCTGTTGCATTGTGGTAAATTGTAGTCAATGTCATGAGACAAAGTGTATGGAAAGTGAATTTGCTCTGTAAACTTTCACCCAAATCACAATTAATAAATAAATAAATAAATAGAGACTTAAAAGAAAAAAATAAAACTAAAGAAATCTTAAGAATGTTTGTTAATGGGCTACTAGAACCCAAGACCTAGTGGCCACAGCTCTCAGAGTGGCTCAAGATATGGGAAAAAAGGACTCCAAGCAGGTAGCTGAAAAGGAACAAGAGAAAATCAAACTTGAGAGAATCAGGCACTGAAGGCAGACCCGTTTGCCATAGAAACCAAACCCCTCCCAATTCTACGAAAAGCAAGCAGATTCCCATTCTCAATGCTACTGCTCCCCAGTAAAACCAGGCAATGGAGAGCGATGGGAGGGGAAGGTAGGGGAGAGCTGAGGAGGGGAGAAATCCAGAGAAAATGAATGAGACTGCTTGCTGCCAGGATAGAAGACCATGCACCCAGGCTGCAAGAATTCTCCCAAATCTTAGCTATGCCTCAGCTTCCCCCTAGCTATGCCCATGTTCAACTCAGGGACTCACAGATGAGTGAAAAAATGAAAGAAAAGTCAGGATGAGGAGCACTCCTCACAGTGGACAAACTCCCACTCTCTTCTCACCCAACTTGCGGTTGGCTTTATCTCTGCCACCCTCACTTACAAGGCCAGCTGGCTTTCTGAGGCAAGAGGAGGGCTGGAAGGCCCCTGCACTTACAAGAGCCTGGGAAGTTCTGCCTCCATCTCCTTGGGGAGTCTGGGCTGTAACTTGCCTGGGCAGAGCAGCCTGCAGCCTTTCAGTTCTGGGCCTGTCTCATTCTTCCCCTCCCCCAGTTTTCTGGGGCCAAGCCCAGTCACAAGCATACTTCCCCTTCACCCACAGCTCAGAAAGATTCTGGGTGTTAGAGGAGGGGGCAGGTCTGTGCCGCTCACACTGCAGCAGATGGAGTGGGCAAGGGGGTAGGGGGAGGTGAGGGTTCGAAGAGAAGATGAGAATGAGCCAACTTCAGAAACTGTCCAGTCGGAGCTTCAGAGAAAGAGCGGTGGCAATCGGAAAACAAGGATTGGTCAAGAAGCTCCAGCATGATTCTGAGAAAACAGAAACCCACTGGGGCAGCTAGTTCCTGGGGTTTCCTAAAAGAAGGCAGCAGAATCGCCCAGCCCTTGCCTGCTCGCCCACTCACCAGTGGCCTCCCAGCCCCAGCCTCAGCCCTCACCCGGTTGCGGGTCACAGTATGGTTGAAAGTGTAGATGTTGACCAGCTCACTGTTGACCTCGTCTACGTAGGTGCGCTCAAATTCGGCGTCTTTCTGCGAGACGTTCTTGGGCCCCAGAACCCCCAGATGGCTCTCGACCGAGGCCACCAAGAGCACCAAGAAGGGCAAGCACGGAGCGAACATGGCCCCGACAGGGCAGCAGTGGCGGCGATAGCGGTAGTGGCAGCAGTGGCGACGGGCGGCAGGACACCTCCAGGACAGGTTGCGGCTTCGGCCGCAGCTTCCAGCATCTCACTAGGACCAGAACTTTAACCCCGGCCTGAGATTAGGAAACGTCCCCTCCCAAGAGCCGCTGAGACGCTCCCAGGGGTCCCGGAGGGGAGGGGACGGAGGGGGTGGGGGCGGAGTACGAACCAATGTAAAGGACCCCAGCTCGCGAGGGGCTGAGCTCGGCCCCGAGACCCTACAGCCCCCGCCCAGGGCCGTGAGAGCGTGGGGCGGCTGGTTGCTGGGAGCCCGGAGACGCCGGAAAGGGGAAGGAGGGAGGAAAGGAGAGGAAGCCGGCTGCAGGGGTGGCCTGGGAGGGATGGAGAGTCTGAGGGTGAGGGGCGTGATCGGTGGTAGCGACCGCACGCCGAGCAGGGGTGAGTTTTCCGGGGCCTGGCCCTTTAAGGGCAAGCGGACGCGGCGGCCCCAGTGCTCTGAACTCTAGAAGTGAGCTGCGCTGCTACGCGGTAAACAGCGAGGCGGCCAGCCCGCCGGCTGACGTCAGGGGAAACTGACACAGATTTAAAGGGCCAGGTCCCATATTTGGACTTAAAGGGGTAGCAGCAGTCTAGCTGGAGAGGAAAGTCTGGGATTTCTACTCCTACCCCATTATAGTTCCTTCTTTCGTAATCTTGCCCATCTCCGGAAGCTCAGATTGGAATAAGTGGATGTTTCTAAGAAGTACTTGGTTCTTGGTGACAAATTATCTTTCCTCAGTCAGGAAGACCCCAGAACCCTTAAGGACCGGGGATGGTGGATGCTAGCAGTAATAATGATGCGATCTGCTAAGAATCACCATCTTTGGTCCATTTTTTTGCTTCTGGGCTCTTAAGAAACTGAAAACTCAAGAAATTAGGAAACGCGATGGCCTGTGGGTGAAGCTTTTGGGGCGGAAGGAACCCGCGTGCACTCTCATATCCCACTTCAGACCCCTTCCAGGCTTATGGGGCTATTCATCCTCTTCTCTGGAGAGGGATCGATAAAGTTCATTGAAATATAGTCACCTGCGGTGTAAATTGGTGAAACCTTTTCTGCTAAATATTTTGGCACTGTGTTGCAAAGAACTTTATACCCGTTGACCCAATAATTCCACTTCGGGGACTCTATACTAAATAAGAAATATAGATAAAAATTTGTGGGCAGCTATGCTCATCACTGTGTTATTTATCATATAAAAAATAAAGGAAACAAATGTGCATAATGACGGCGTGGTTAAATGCACTGTTGCCACGAATGCATCGAAAATGAGGTTTAAGACATTAAGGGACATGTAAATGGTAAATTCAGGATAAAACACTAGGTAAACTGTGTGTCTCCCCAATACATAGACAGGCATAGAGAAACTCTGAAGAAACTGCACAATAATAATAATAATAATAATAATGATCTCTCTGAATTACAGATTTTAAAAAATAACCTGTATCTTGTAATTTTCCTTCTGTTGAAATAGTATAGAAAAGTACATACACACATAGAAAAAAAAAAAAACACTTAATTGTGGGTGGTTTAAAATATTTTTTATACTTTTTTAAAAATTACAAACTATAATGTACCTGTATTCTTCCTTTTATAAGATGAATTTACTACTGTTGTTAAGTGCCATAGGGTCTGTTTTGACTCATAAGGACCCTAAGTACAACCAAACAAAATACTGCCCAATCTGTGACATCCTCACAGTTGTTCCTATTCTTGAGCCCAAGGAAAAGATACCCTAACAAGGGTCTGTTGTTGCTGGCAAGATTCTAGTGGTCTCAGATTGTGTCTCTTCCTTACTAACTGGGGGCATTGTTCCAGTGAAGACTATTTTACCTTATGACTAGCAATAAATATTTATTCCTTTCTGCACTAAATATTTAAAAGTACCTAATTGAGTAGTGAGAAGCCTGATGCCATGGTGGTTAAAGCATTCAGCAACTAACCAAAAAAAAAAAAAAAAAAGTCAGCAGTTAGAACTTACTAGCTGTTCCAGGGGAGAAAGATGAGACAGTCTGCTTACATAAAGATGTACAGCCTTGGAAACCCTATGAGATAGTTCTCTACCTTAAGGGTTGCTATGAGTCAAAATCTACTCAACAGCAGTGGGTTTTGGAATTGAGGAGCAGGTATTTGACTGCTAACCAGAATGTTGGTGGTTCAAAGCCCCATGGAAGGAAGATAGGGAAATATACTCCCATAAAGATTTATGACCTCAGAAACCCAGTGAGGTCACTATGAGTCGGATTTGACTCAATGGCACTAAGTTTCTTTCTTTCTTTTTTGATGGTACGGTGGCTAGAGTGCTTGGCTGCTAACCAGGTCAGAAGTTCGAACATACCAGCTGCTCCATGGGAAAAAAGATGTGGTAGTTTGTTTCCATATAGATTTACAGTCCTTGAAACTCAATGGGGCAGTTGTACTCTGGCCTACAGAGTCACTATGAGTCAGAATTGACTCAACAGCAGTGGATACTATGTAGCAGGCACTGTCTTAGTCACACTGGTCAAATGGTGACTGGGAGAATTACACCTGGCCCCTCCCAACTAGAGCACACTTGAGGATGAAGAAGATCTCATGAAGCAAACTGCAGGGACTGAAGAACCCTAGAGTCAGAATGAGAAAACCTTAGTGGTTCCCTAGACCAACCCCTTATTTTCCTGATGAATAAAGTTAGGTCCAGAAAACGTTAGCTAATTCATAATTCACTAGACTCATGCCTTGGTCCAGTATTTTTTTCCAGTACATCTAGATAATCCTGGATCAGCTAGATCAACAGGATAACAAGTTTCTTCATAATGAGTCCTCTATGCAATCAAGAGCTTTGGTAGTGTAGTGCCTAAGGCATCTGACTGCTAACCAAAATGTTGGCGGTCCAAACCCACCAGCCACTCCGCAGAAGGAAGACTGGGCAATCTACTTCCGTAAAGATTTACTGCCTCAGAAACCCAAAGGGGGTCACTATTATTCACAATCGACTTGATGGCATTGAATTTGGTTTTGGTTTGCTTATGCAACCAGCAGCCCACCTTGGGGAATCGTAGAATTTTCATATTCCAACTGGTCTCTGTCTTGACCCTGCTCATCTTGCTAGTAAATAATCTGGAATTCTAAGAAACACTGTCACACTGAGCTTGAGCTTCCAACTTAAAACCTTACATGATTTAAATGAAGGTCTGTCTTGTGCCACTAACTTTGCTGAATGCTGTGAGAATCACAAAGTTTAGGTCTGCTTCAAGAGCTAATAGCTGGATAGGTAGGCTGGTCAGTGTTGTAGCTGTATTGAAGGAGCCCAGACTGGGACTATAAAGTCAGCAGGGAAAAGCTTGAATCTGCATTTTAACAAGCACACCACGAAAACTATCAATATTCCTATCTGTTTGCTCCCTTTCTTCTGGCAGTTGTTGTTGTTGTTTGCCGTTGAGTCGGCCCCGACTCATAGCAACCCCTCCTTGGGTTTCTGAGGCAGTATCACTACAGAAGTAGGATTGCCCAACCTTCCTTCCGAGGAGTGGCTGGTGGGTTTGAACCGCCAGCCTTCTGGTGAGCAGTCAAGTGCCTTAGGCACTACGCTACCAGAGCTCCTTCAAGCCAATCCAGAAGGGATCCTTCCCTTTTGCCAGGTCTCAAGGGCCTTCGGACCCTCAGCACTCTGGAAATTCAGATGACGTAGGGTAGTAGTCCCAGACTTGCTTGCTGTACCTAGGTCTGCAAAAATTTGTTCTGCCCCACCATCCAGAGAGGGAACAGCACAAACAGGTTATGAATAGGCTCTGAGATCTGGCAGCTTTGAGAGAAGAGAAAGCCATTTTGTTGGCTGCAGGAGTCAGCATAAAAGAAAAGCAATGCTGAGTTCCAAAGCTAGACTTTTGTCTGCAAAGAGGAGATGTTGAGGCCTTCAGGGCACCTCTCTGCCCTTCTGCACAGAGTTCAGATACTGCAATCTCTTAGCCATGTATGTATACAAAAAGCCCAGCCCCTGGCCCTGAAGTGAGTAGGGTGGAGGCACAAGGTTCAGATGACTCCCTTCCATCTCCCTGCGAGGCATGCTTCCCAAGCATTCACCAGGCAGCTGACAAGAGCCCCTAGCCTTCAAACTCCATTTGAAGTCATGGAATAGGCGAAGTTTAGAGAGAGAGGACAGGGAAAAATTTGGGGCTGACTCAAGAGTATTGCTATGATCTTAAGACTTGGTTTTGGTTTGCCAACAGCAGGATACTGAAGCATAGTAAATGGATTAGCTGAATCTAATCAATTTAGGAACCTGGGGGGCAGGGAGTGGCAGTGAGTGTGGGTGGGTGGCAGAATTAAATGAGACTTTAGAATTAGTAATAGTAAAACTTTAACCCTGAAAAAAACATCGCAAAAACAACCCCTCTGAATGAGATGGACTTGAACTTCCCTGTTTTCACTGCAACCATAAAAAGAGCTCACTGTGTCCATATGGAGCTTGGAAAGATTGTCCTGAACATAGGCAGTGTTGGTCCCTCGTCCTGATGAAGGGCAGCAAGGTACAGCATTTCTTTTCCATCATGCACGTTCTGTTCTCTCCCAGGGTTGCCTTTGTTTCTGGTCCTCTTTCAAGAAACTGTGAAAACTGGATGCGCATCACTTTGGCAATCAGTGATTTTTTCCACCATTCTGGGGATAAGGTATCAAACCTGTCACATGGCTTCATGGAGTTATGGAAAAAGCAAGGACTTTGATGTGGAGAAACTGTGTTTAAAGCCTTGCATTATGTGCCTTAGGTAAGTTACTTAAACTTTCTGAACCTTCAGGAGCCACATCTCATTTCCATTGCCCTTTTAAATACCGCACAGTGGAGCTGAGCTTGGCTGCATTCCCTTTCCTAAGCTTTGTCTGGGAGCTCTGGTAGCATAGTGCCTAAGGCACTTGACTGCTAACCAGAAGGCTGGCGGTTCAAACCCACCAGCCACTCCTCGGAAGGAAGGTTGGGCAATCCTACTTCTGTAGTGATACTGCCTCGGAAACCCAAGGAGGGGTCGCCTATGAGTCGGGCCAACTCAACGGCAAATAACAACAAGCTTTGTCTAAAGAGCTGGAAAGGGAGACAAGGAAGAGTAGCTCTGATCAAGTGGGCAGTACTTTCTGCCAGAGACAGATGAGCCACTTTCCATTTCCTAGAAGTGGGCTCTCTCTCTTCAGGCTGGGAAACATGGGCGATACACTCAGGCCCTGCATCTCGTTCCCTCTGATCATGTGATGGAACCAGTATCAGAGCTTTCCAGGAAATGAGGCTGGGCATCAGGTTGCTGAAAACAAGCAGATAAATAATTGATCAACTCAAATCTGTGCCTTCAAAGATTGCTGATAAAAATGAGCCAGCAGTCCTCCTATTTCAAAAAGGCTCGAGTCTTCAGCTAAGAAATCAGAAGATGCAACTGAAGAACCTTTTACCCATCTCTGGCTGTATCTAAAAGTCCAGCATGCAGC